AGCAACAATTCGTCTGCAGTGGCTTGGCAATTTCTGGTTCTTTCTTTAATTTTTCCTTAATTTGGGCCTGTTGGCTTCTTCGTAATTGTTAACAACAATCAATTTAGTGTGGGTTTGTAACCCACTGTCCTTTTAATTTCAATTCTGCTGAATTGTTTGTGCTGCTATGTAATGCTTAATGATGTTGCTAATTACCATGCTTAATGCTTAATGCTTAAGTATGTTGCTAATTGTGATGCCTACTTGGTGGCGTTGATTGTTTTTGTTGCCAAGTCCGGAAAAGATTAAAATATTGATTTTAATCTTTCGTTTGTTGTTGATTTCTTAACTCTCTTGTTCTAGTAACTTGATGAAGTTACTATGAAAGTTTTGTATTGATATGTTCTATTTTGCTAATTGGGTTTAGATTTATTGTTTGATTTTATCGTTTTAATTGTTTTTGTTACTGGGTGGCCAATTTTAGCAAAATTGATTGAACTAATTTGAGGGAATTTTAGAGTAAATACCATGCCTAATAATTTCATGTTCTGAATAAATAGTTTGGTTATCTTTATTGAACTGTTTATTTGGTTCATAAACTGTGTATATTCTGTAGTTCTTTTAGGAAATAATTGTTTGAATAAGTGCCTTTAGACATAGGAACAGGCCCGCTTGCGGGGTTGCCATATTAAAGAAAGATTCATGTTCCTAGTCCTTGTTCCCTTTGTCTTGTTTCATATTTTACAGTTTTACTGTCTTTCATGCCTTGTTTTTTATGCCTTTTCATTTGTTTTTGAGCACTTTAAATTAAGTCAACTTTAAATTATTAAGTCTATAAATTGCATTTCAAGTCTATAAATTGCATTGTGTCAATTTTCTGTGGGTTCGACTCTTGCTTTGCACATTATGTTATAGTGATTTGTGCACTTGCGAGGATTATTTAAAATTTAGAGTTCAATTATGAGATTGCTAGCCAGTTGATTTTGCTGATTGAGGATGAGTTAGCTACATATTATGTTAATATGCAATATAGAATTTAGTTTGTTGTTTCTATGTTCTTAGATTTTAGTTGTTATCCTAATAAACCTATTCAGTTGTTATCATAATAAAGGAAAAATGAAATATACAATAACTGTAGCTATATTTTTATTCATAACATTTATACTTTGTTGTGTGGAGCCGTCATAACGGATCAAGAATCAAAAGTTTCAGTACACACTGAAGCAAATAATAATAATAATGCTACTTTGACTTTAATAATGGAGGCCAAGGGGCCAAATGGTTGCCGCCGCCGTCACTGTCCCCATCTCTCATGGGTGGGATTCTCGCCAAGCTTTTGACATGTTAAGGGGAACTGCTTTCCAAGGCCATGAATAATGAATGCCTCCTTCACCTTGTTTGGAATGCAATTTTCTTTCACATGGCAAAAGCTTGGCGGCAGAGATGGTGAGAATCCCACCCATGAGGGATGGTGACGGCGGCGGCGGCGGCGATCATTTGGCCCCTTGGCCTCTATCATTAAAGTCGAAGTAGCATTATTATTATTATTAATTGCTTCAGTGTGTACTGAAGCTTTCGATCTGTTTTGACGGATCTACATAATATAAGTAGAAATGTTATGAATAAAAGTATAGCGTTATTTATAGATTTCATTTTTGATTTGAGAATAGGTTTATTATGATAACAACTAAATCTAAGAATATAGTAAAAAATTCAACAAATTTAATTCTATCTCATAAAAATCTCTAACTGTAATTTCTAACAAAGTAGATTATATCATTTAAGTTGCTGCATTTGTACCTCAACCTTGTGACAAGTAGTAAGGACTTGAGCTTTATTTTTAACGGAGGAGATTTTAATTAGAGATTATTTGGTTTTCCAATTAAAATTCTTGAAGTAATTAAGTTCTTTCTCTTTCTGAGAAAATCAAGCTTGCATATTTTATGCTCTGTACTTGCTGTATGTACTACTGCCACTGAGCTGTTCTATATCTTGGCTGCTTATCTGATTTTTTTTTTAATTTTTTTTAAATTTTTTATTGTTTGTTGTTGAGTATATGTTTGACATTTGGTTTATGCTTTCTAGAAAGTGAAACTTGGTTTTCCCTTTTATGTCGTGCTGAATGTGTCGTATCAGGAAGTTTAGGGGTTTAAGCTTCTCAAGCTATCATGGATTTGCAAAATCTTCTTGATTTACTGGTGAAAGTAAGAAATTTTAATTTAATGGTAGTTGTGTTGGTATACTTTGACATTCCCATGTTGGCTGTAACTTGGTGCATATGACCATTCTATTATGAATTTATGATGTCCAAAGTTCATATTTTTACTTCCAACCAAACGTGTGAAGCAAGTTTTGATGTTTGAAAATGCTATGGAACACAGTTTCCTCCTGTGTTTAGTTTTGGAGTGAGGATTATCAAGAAATAAGAGCATAGGAAGGAGATCTTAACATGAATATATCAAGTTTGTCTTTAGGCTTTTGGTGAATGATGGGTTCTGAATTGGATGATTTATTACATTATTGTATCATTTGAGAGAAAAAGCAGCAGCAGGATGCTCTTCCAAAGTATATGCCACACTTTTTTCTTTTGTCTGCTAATATCAGAAAGAAGACTGAAGCTGTTGATAGGTACTATTATTATTTAGATGCCTTTCTTGTATATGAATTAATGAGGGTGATTATCATGTGGTTTGTTTATAATATTGTTGATATGGATTGAGTGTTGCAGTGTGCATGCATGAGCATTATAGCTACTTTATGATTTGATTTGCATTTTTACTTTAGTATAGTTCAAAACTTCAAAATAGTTACTCCCTCCGTCCCATTTTCCATGTCTTACTTTCCTTTTTAGTTTGTCCCAAAATGTTGTCCTCTTTCCAAAATTGAACATCAATATCATTCTACTTTTCCAATTTACCCTTATGACTTTTGCTTTTATTTCCAAAAGTAAGAAAAGTGAAGGGCATAATTGGGAAATGACATAGCATTTACTTTAATTCCTTAAAAAGCGTGCAAAAAGCAAATGAGACAACTATTTCGGGACGGAGGGAGTATTTTTTTGAATGCTACTGACTCTATTACATTGTAGTATCTGTTCAAATTCAAAATAGTTATTTATGTTCTACCTTTGTCATATTTTGAATGGATTGTTGTGGATGATTAATTGATTATTAGTTAGAATATGGTCGAAAGAAAAAATCTATATTTGACCGGCCAGGGTTTCTTCCTATACGTATGAATTCCACCGAACCCATATGATAAACAACATAACATTGTAATAAAATTGATTTTTTTTTTTTTGTTTAAAATTTTATCAAATTATTGTTCATTATATTATTTACAAATTTTTCTTTAGTAAAAAGAAGAGGCTAACGTTTTGAAAGTATCATGTTGTCCTAGAAATTAAAATTAATTTGACAAAAGTATAATAAAAGATCAAATTTGATAATATTCTTTCCAAACATCACTCTTATGACCAACTGAGCTGTCTATGCGGGTTTAAATTTAATAATATTAATAGAATGGCAGCTGGTTAGGGGCTTGGAACATGTTCTGCGTGCGACTGGAGCTGAGGCGTGAACACTCCTTAAGGGGATCCAATTCGCGCAAGCTTAGGGATGCAGTCGTGTCATATTCAAAGGTGACTCTAGCCATAGTGGAGGGAATTAGTAGCAACAAGATGATCAATAACTTGCTCATTGCCTGCAAGCATGAATCAGGGGTGGAGCTACCATGGGGGCAGTTATCCCCCTTCCCCACCCCCACTCTATAACCTTTGTATATGCATGTATGTATAGTACATGTTTTAGTATAAGTATAAAAAAAAATAGATAAAAGCTAACAAGAGATGGTTAGATCAGTTGGCAACGGGAGCATTTAATTCTAAGAAAGGCTAAGGTTCTAATCCTTATTATGGTTTCAACACAGCTTGTTTACGGCTTTTCTTTTTTTTTTCAAATTATATATCTCTTTTGTTTTAATATTGGGAAAATGCACTTTTTCCCCCTGAGTTATATACCTATAGCATATTTTCCCCCTAAATTATTGAAGTGGTTGTTTTTCCCCCTGAAATGTTAAATGGACATATTTACCCTTAAACTAAATATTTAATTTATTTTTTTTTCTCCAACAAATTATGACCATAATTTGGTTCAAACCAAACAAACGCTATAGCAACCAAACTGAAATATTCCAATTACAATTTAGAATCAAAATTCGATATTTAGAGTTTATTAAAATCGTGAACCAGAACGGACGGTTCATGTTCCGAACTGAAAAAATAAAATACATTTATTGTTCAATTTAGACTATTTTAAAATAAAAAATAAAATTTTAAAATAAAGACGGTTCAAAATCGCGAATCGGATTCGGAACCGTCGGTTCACGGTTCAAGATTCAAATTTTTTTGATACATAATTTTAATAAATTGACATTTAAATATTGGGTTCTAGATCTGAATTATAATCGAAAACTATTAATTCTTGCTTTAGTATCCGGTTCAATTCAAACCGAACCGTGATCATCCCTACGTATACGCAATAATTTGTTGGAGTAGTAAAATAAATAAAATGTTTACTTTATGGGTACAAATGTCAATTTAATATATCATGGGGAAAAAACACAACTTTTAGAATAATTGAGGGGCTAATGTGCTTACCTAAATAATTGAGGAAGAAAAAGTGCTATAAATATATAACTCAAGGGTAAAAAGTGCCATTTTCCCTTTAATATTTTGCCCCCATTGAAAATAGTATAGCAGTTTTCCTAGGTATCCCTTCCACTTGATCCAAAAATTTGACAATATTAATAAAAGCATATGATTAAATGTTATCAAAACAAAGCTACAATAAATGAGTTGAAGTGTGTGTGAGGCCACATGAGACGGTAAGTGACCACCCGCGATGGGCCCCAGTCAACCACCAAATAAACCAAAATCGCGTGCCAACCCCCAGACAATCCTCTGCATGCAAACTGCCCTCCTCGATCTATCAAAATACTATAAAGAGATGCTGAAATTGGAACAGAATATCACATTCAAATTAAATAAAAAGAAAAGGGAAAAAACATACACCCATTCACCAACTAACATTCGATCGTTACAATATTAATATTGTGTTGTGTGAATATGGTAGTTAAGGTGTTCGGTTCTGCAACAGCGGCATGTCCGCAGAGGGTGATGGCATGTCTCTTTGAGCTTGGTGTGGATTTTGAGCTTATCCATATTGACCTCCAGTCCTTCGAGCACAAAACTCCTGAGTTTTTGCGTCGCCAGGTACAAATTCTCATCTAGACACGTTTATTATTTCTGTCGTTACGATAAATCAGTGTATATTTTAATTTTAATATTGAGTTTAGATATATATTGTGATGATTTATTTTTTTGTATGCCATCCCTTGCAGCCCTTCGGACAGGTTCCGGCTATTGAGGATGGAGACTTCAAGCTTTTCGGTGATACACTATACAACAAACTTAATATTATTTTAGAATAAGCGTAAAATAGGCTGCTAATAAACTTAATAAGTTTGTGCAGTTAAGTCTGTTGAGCATGTAGTCATTAATGTGCAATTCAACTATCAGCTTAGGCTTTTAGTTGAGATGAAGCACATGCTTCAATTAAGTCATTGAGTTAAAAGCATATGCAAAATATGTGCTGGTTGTGCAACTTATTCATTTATCTTTGCAAGTGATTTTAAGGGTGGGGTTTTGTGAGCTTAGGATTACCGAATAATTGTATTTTTGTTGTGATATATAGAATCCAGGGCGATCATAAGGTACTACGCAACAAAATATGCAGAAAAAGGCAAGAACCTAATGGGAAAGACGGTCGAAGAGAGAGGCGTGGTGGATCAATGGCTAGAAGTGGAATCCAACAACTACAACGACCTAGTCTACAACATGGTTCTTCAGATGTTTGTGTTCCCCAGCATGGGACAGCCCAGCGACATGAGTGTGGTGAAGAAATGTGCAGAAAAGCTGGGGAAAGTGTTGGACGTTTATGAAGAAAGGCTTTCAAAGAGCAAATACCTGGCCGGAGATTTCTTCTCCTTGGCTGATCTTAGCCACCTCCCCAGCCTCAGATTCTTGACCAACGAAGGTGGTTTTGGGCATTTGGTGAGTGAGAGGAAGTGTTTGAATGCTTGGTATTCCGACATCTCTGCCAGGCCTGCTTGGAACAAAGTGTTGGACCTCATCAATAACCAAAAAAATTGATCCAGTTTTATTATATTATTATATTTCCCTTTCTCGTGTTTTATTATTTGTATATTTTCTCTACGTTATCCCTTCCTAATAAACTTATCCTTGCATCCTAATCAAAGTTATAGGGTTATTAAATTGGGATAAAGGTCAAATAAACAATCCAACTATATACCAGAATTCAATTAGACCTTCGAATTTAAAAAATATTTAATTAGAGCCTTAAACTTGTTAAATTTGTACAATTAATCTATTTAAACGGTTATCAAAAGATAACTTGTCAACTTTATATACATGACATTTTTTTTAAAAAGCTAATTAAAAAAAACTTTTCGACGCAACACTTCTCCAATTTGACTGAGAAGCCCAAGCTTCTTCATCCATGACAGCTGCCATGGACAAAGAAGCAATGGCAGCGCGCCAAGCTGCCATGGCGAGCTTCTTCGTCCAAAGATCAGATGGAAAAGCCTGCCACGGTTCTTCGTCAATGGCAGATTAGCTGGCATGGACAAGAAGCCATGGCAGCTCGGCTGTCATGGTGTTTTTTTTTTTTTTAAATGAATATTATTATTTTAATTTTATAAAAAAATTAATTTTTAAAAAGTATTAATCTAAATGGTATCTTATGTGGCATCTTACATGGCAAGTGACTTAGAGCATCCTTATCAGTTGAGGTTATTTCTCAGTTATTTGTGGGTCCCAGTATCCACCTCACCATCCATCATCTCATTCAATCAAAAAAAAAATCTTTCTCCACATCAATTTTGAGTTATTTCTCAGTTTTTTATTGACCCACCATTTAACCCACTATATTTTAATTATTTCTCTTACCTACTGGGCCCACAAATATACCATATTTTGCAGGAGAAATATTTTTGAAATAACTCCTCCCCACATCAGCTATTAACTTTGGGTGGAGAGAATTCATTTAGAAATAACTCCTAAATAACTACTAATGTGGACAGTGGCGGACCCGAGAATTTTTTTCAGCGGGGGCAAAATATTAAAGCAAAATTGATAATTAGAAAAAAAAAAAAAATGAAACACTTCAAAAGTATAACCATAAATAATGTTGGATATAAGAAAATTATAAAACACATCAAAACATTATAAATATATTCATAACAAAATATGAACATAATCAATTTGATAAAATAATTTGAATAAAAGATCCATTATAAATTACACATCTCATCTCATTATTAATATATAAATGAAGATTATATTATTGTGTAGAAGCAATATGCACTATTAATAATAGTGAAAATGTGAAATAATGAACATACTCAATTTGATAAAATAATTTGAATAAAAGATCCATTATAGATTACACATCTCATCTCATTATTAATATATAAATGAAGATTATATTATTGTGTTGAAGCAATATGCACTATTATAAGTATTAATAATAGTGAAAATGTGAAAAAGTAGTGTTAATAGGAGAAGGAAATGTTGAAAACAAATAAAAGGGATCAAACCTTGGCTTGTGTCCAAACCAACTATGGGCTCAGCCATCTATGCTAAACCACATTTTGTTAACAATTCTCTATTTTCTAATACTTATACTAAAACTTGTACTATATATACACATATACATACAAGGGTTATATAAGGGGTGGGGGTGGGGTGAGTGGGGGCAGCTGACCCCACTGCCCCCACTGTAGGTCCGCCCCTGAATGTGGATGCTCTAAACATCAATATCCTTTGGGGATATTAAGGAGTTTGTGTAAGGCTGACCACATCCCAGCCAAGACCCTTTTTTTTAATAATTTTTTTTTAAAAAACTTTTATATTTTTAATTTGTTTGTTTAATTTAGTTTATTTTTAATCACTTTTTTTCTTGTTTTATTTGTGTAGTTTGTTTTGCCGTATTTTTTTAATAAGTAATAATTTTTTAATAAAATAATATATTAAAAGAGTACATAACATTACATTGATTTAGAAATACAATGCATACAAATTAATTTCATCATACTTATTCATCTAAAAACTTTTTCATTTGCTTATCGTACAATTGTTTTTGCGTTTCATTCATACTTGATGTATCTAGTTGCATAAACTGAATGAGATGTTTATTTTTCTCAGTTTGTTGTTGTTGTTGTTGCAGTTTTTCTTCTTGTCGCTTCATATATTGTTTCATGAGGTTTATTTTTTCCATTTCCACACTGACTTGCGTTTCAACTTGCTCGCCCAAACTTTTTGATACCGTTGACTGTGTTGTTGATTGCATTCTTTTTCCTTTCGCCTTAGAAGCGTCCCTTCCCATGGGACGAAAGCTAAACCCTCCCACACATGGTGTCTCACTTGGTTGTGAATTTGATGATGAAGATGTGTATTTACCTGCAGACTCTGTATTTTTCGTTCGCTTTTGACGTTATCTCTGGTTAAGTCAACATCAATGCCACTCCCAGCTTGGTTACACCATTTCTCTTCATTCCTTAGCACTTCCCACATTTGATGTTTGTACACAAATTTCGTACAGAAATGATGATATTCTCTACCCAAATTTCCTCCAAAAAATGATGATCCATTATTTATACGTAGGATGATACACAAATTTTCTTAAACTAATTATTATATTCCATACACAAATTTCGTTCACCTAATTATTAGATTCCATACACAAATTTCCTTCAACGTATTATTATATTCCAACTTCTTACAAACTCAGATGATATTCCATACACAAATTTCCTCTACATAATTATTAGATTCCATACACAAATTTCCTCCACCTAATTATTACACTCCATACACAAATTTCCTTCAACGTATTACTATATTCCATACCCAAACTTCACAAATTTTCTTCAACTAATAATTATTAGATTCCATACACAAAATTCCTTCAACGTATTATTATATTCCAACTCATATGATATTCTCTACCACTTCAAGAAATGATGATCCATTATTTATACGTTGGATGATACACATTTTACTAAATCTCATTACTCTTTCTTCTCATCCCAAACTCATTACTCTTTCTTCTCCTCCCAAACTCATTACTCTTTCTTTCATATACTATGGATGATGAGTGGAACTCAATGGGCGATTCTAATTCATTTTATTCTGAATTTTCAACTGAAAATTATGAAAATCCTCCCTTTTCTAACTCATCTTCTTCATCCCAAGACCCAGATAATCCTTTTTCTGAGCAAAATATATCATTGAGTGGTTCATGGATGATACTCTATTGAACCTAATAAACCTTCGACGAGAAGCTATAGAAAATGAGGCTGCATCGTCTCGGCGTAGAAGAAGGCCAAGACGGGTCATTGAGAGAAACTGTGAAGAAGCAGATCAACGTTTATATAATGACTATTTCTCTAATAGTCCAACGTACACCGACGATTTATTTCGGCAAAGGTTTCGAATGCGAAGAAATTTATTTCTTCGCATAGTTGAAGGTGTTACAAATTATGACCAATATTTCCAAAGTACTATAGATTCTACTGGTAGACGGAGCTTTTCGCCACTACAGAAATGTACAGCAGCAATGTGTATGTTAGCGTATCGGAGTTCTGCAGATTCCATTGATGAGAATATACGAATGGGTGAGACCACTATAATGAGGTGTATAAAGAGATTTGTTCAAAGTATAAATGATGTGTTTGGGGAAGAGTACTTGAGAAGGCCAAATGTTGTAGACGTACAAAGGCTAATGCAAATTGGAGAACAAAGGGGCTTCCCAGGTATGCTAGGGAGTATTGATTGCATGCACTGGGAATTGAGAAGTTGTCCAACTGCCTGGCATGGACAATATGTTAGAGGAGATCACGGCTATCCAACCATTATACTTGAAGCTGTTGCTTCTGCAGATTTGTGGATATGGCATGCTTTCTTTGGTCTCGCAGGCACATTAAATGATATCAATGTATTGGACCGATCTCCCATCTTCCACGAGGTCTTGGAAGGTAAAGCACCCCAGGTAAATTTCGTTGTTAATGGTAACCATTACAATTTGGGTTATTACTTAGCAGATGGAATATATCCAAGTTGGGAAACCTTTGCGAAGTCAATCCCCTTAGCTCAAAGTGCAAAACATAAATTATTTGCAAAGAAACAAGAAGCTGCAAGAAAAGATATAGAAAGAGCATTTGGAGTGCTCAAAGCACGATTTGCTATCATTTCTAACCCGGCACGCATGGGCTCCAAAGAAACACTTGGACAAATTATGAGAGCATGTATAATCATTCACAATATGATTGTAGAGGATGAACGAGATTCATATGCTATTGATTCTAATTATACGAATGAAAGTGTGAATTGTAATGTATCTACACCTGAAAATAGTCCTAGCCACTTCATTCGAAATGAGGATTATATTCGAAATCATGCAATGATTCGCAATAGGCCAACAAACCATCAACTACGAGAAGACTTGATTGAGGAGATATGGAATCGGTTTGGTGGAGATGAAAATTAATGAATAAATGTATTTGCTTTCAATGTAATCCGTTAGTTGTAATGCCTTAATTTTTAATGCTTTGAGTGCTCTCGTAGTTGTAATTTGTTTCATTTCAGTGTTGTCGTAGTTGTAATTTGTACTTGGGTTAATTTTTATGATTTCAATTACTTTGAATTTGTAAGGTTCATTTGAGGTTTAGTTTTACAATTCAAATCGTGGTATAATATGCACTCGGTTATATACCATACATAATACGAATAATTTCTTAAATTATTCGTATTAAAATAAATTCATTAAAATTACGTGTTTAAAATTTATGTTGATATACATACATTTTTTTTTTGTAAGATTGATATACATACATTCATTACTATACGTAAATTAATTCATTAATACATACATTTAGTTTTTTCCATTAATACATACATACGTAATTAGTTATTTTCAAATTTGTTATATTTAATATTTAAATATAATTTATATATTGATATAAATAAATAATGTTGAAGAAAAAATAATATTTATTAAGAAAAAAATATTAATTTTTTAAAGTGATGTGAAATTGGACCCACTTTTGAAGGTTGATTGGATTTGCAGGGATGTAGTGCGAATAGTAGATGATTTGCAAATGAGATGATATGGAAGTGGGACCCATTTTTGAGAGTGAAGATGTTTGCAGGGATAAGTTCAGCCTAAGAGTGATTAGGAAAGACAATATGGGAGGGAAGAGAA